AGGTAAATTACGGTCTTTAAGAACATGCATGCACTTTTCTTCCCACGTTTTTCTTCTAAGAGCTTAATATAAAAAATTGTAATATCATTAAGCAGTTACGGCATTAAAAAATGCACGAAAATTTTTTTCTTAATATAATCAAAAACAAAAAGAAAAAAGATGCATAGAACGATTACTTGATTTCTTCGGTTGACATAATATTCAGCGGAAGTTTTGATGACAGCTGAATGTGGTCTAAAATTCGATAATACGCACAAATCAGAAGAATATTTGAGTTTTTTCACATGGTTATAACGTCATTGTAACATTGTATACACATTGACATAAAGCATGAAACTATAAAACTTCTAAACTGTCTTTTTATCAATTTGAACGTCAATTATTCAGCTCCTGGCCAAACAAAATTATTTCTTATAGTTTACTTACTTAAAGCAATTTTCTGTAAAAATTTGGAAAAATTTTGCATTTTTTTTTTCTTTATACTGAAAGGTAGTTATTTGTTTGAAAAATTTCAGAAATAGTACAATGAGCCAAAGTGGTGATGACTATGATCCATACACAAAATCATATAAGCAACACGATAGCAGTTTCTTTGGATGAACAATTACATTAGTGAAGAATTATGCAACGCATAACTGTTGATGTATCAGTAGTAAACGATCTTCAAATACTCAGAAGTGGCAAACAGTGATTGTGAAAATTGGGATTGAAACCAGGAAAATGAGTAATAGAAGAAAGTCAACCTTTTAACTGACTGTTAAACACTCAAAAATACTGCTGTTTACACTGATGATCAGCTTCTGTATTCTGTGACGTAAAAGCAGTACGCCCCTAAATTTTTGTGTCAAGAATATCAACCAATTGCATCTAAAATTACAGTGGGTTAGGGCGGTACATTACTGAGGTGCAGCAGCAAAGCAGATGGCGTTTTGAAAGTTGTGGAAATCTAAAAATGTGCTTCAACTTCTGTTGCAGTAGTCACTTAGTGATGGATCACGAAATTTTACAAATGGAATATCCATCCTGGTTCCCCCGTACTTGAAATTATTTTGTGGAGAAGCAGTAATGAAGTTGTGCTTTCAAACAACTTCAATTTGACAGTTTATCTGTTTTGTCTCTTCTTTAATTGTTGTTTGAGTCTTAGTCTCACTATTTAAGCAAACAAACAAACAAACAATTTAGAGGTGAATTTCTCTGTTTGATTTTGATCGACGATTTATTCAAAATTTTGATTTTATCTAAATATTTTTATTTTTAACACTAATTGATTTTTCTTTTAGTATAACAAAAATGTCTGAAAAAACCATAAACAGTGTCAAAAGCAACGTTAAATTTTGTCCCAGCTTTTTTTTATTATTTTTTTCGTCTGCTTCTTAGTTTAATACATATATTTGTAAAATAATATTAAAAAAACGAAAGTGAAAAGAAAAGAAACCACTGAAAGATTTTCTGCGAAAAGTAATCATGTATCAATTTTCCAAATACAGACTACAATAACTGTTAACAACTTTTTTACAGTTTCTTTTAGTTGATTTCAAATGTTTAAATAAATGTTAAAGAAATTTTTCTCAGGTCTAATAAGCAGAATTCGATGATTTCTTTTCGTTTTTTCTTTTTCGTTTCACTTTTCAATCAACAATTTTATTTTCATCTATTCTACTTTTATTGTATGTGATTCTATTGTATTCATTTACGTGAAATATACTAAAAGAAAAAGCTGTAGAACAATATGAAATTGCTAAGACAATTAGACAACACACAAAAGTTTGCCAGTTCCAGACAATTAACCAAAAACTGTCAAAGATCTTACTTTGGGTTACTATCATTAAATAAAAGATGGTTTCCCATTAAGCAACATATAGTGCATTACATTCATAGTTACCTCTAAATAGCCAATTTTCAGATATTTCAGCAAATTTTTTTTAGCAAGTCACCAATTGCTAAAATTTTTCGTTTTATAGTACACACCGGGGTTAAATACTTGCAGAGAAGTTAAAAAAGAAATATGCTGTCAAAAACAGCTGAAAAGCAAAAGAGAACTGAGCAAAAATAGTCGACAGTCAAGGCTGTCAAGAATTTTAAAAGCCAAACTCTAAGACAAATGCAGTTAGTCTGCTGTCGAGCAAATATCAGCCATAACTAACTAAGGTAACACTGGTAGAACGCTATTTACTAGGGTAAAAAAATTACCAACCGCTTAGTCGCAGTTTAAAAGTGCCTGTAAATTGATCGGTTTTACTTCAAAAAGATTATAAGTGCAAAGTATCGCTAAAATACGACTTTCTATAATCAGCAAACAAGACAAAAAAGTTCCCATTCACAATCGCAATCTTTAAGATTAATAGCGCTAAAAACAGTAGAAAGGAAAAAAAAAACAAAAAATGAAAAAAAAAATACATTCAAAAACACACAGCAGCTAACTGTGTTTAAATTATGCTCAATAAGAAAATTTATTATTTTTTTTTTTTTTGGAATAAGAAAGAAGAAAATCATTTTAAACGATTCTTATCTGACGATGAATTTTATGCGTTCTTCAGCGTCGTCGATCACAGTAAAAAAAGATACCGAAACTCCAACTTTATTATACTGCTTTTTTTTTTCCGCTCTCTTCAAGACTATGTATTTATTTGTACCAACTTGAAATACCGTAAAAATTTTGATGCTTTCGATAAGTTAATTACACATATGCAACTAAACGAGTGAATAAGTTTGCTGAGTGAAACCACTTAGACAGGTGTGCACCAACAGTAAAAAGTAAAGACGTACAGTGAAACGATCTTTTACAAAAAAACACAACAATCACAAATCGTAAACCTGAGAAAGAGATTATCCAGATTGTTGCTGCTGCTACAGCTACTAGATAAACAGAAGTTCAAGTTTAACGTAGACCACTAAATGACATAAAATAAAGAGGTTTAAATTGGTCAACATCAAAAATTTTTAACTTAGACGGAGCAAAAACTGTCATTGTCGTTTCAACTGACGCCTCTGATAAAAATGTTGGCTTCCTGTTTGAAAAGCAATCCGTATGACTCGAACATAATTTTGAAAAAACAGATGTCACTAATGTCAGCTACAAAACAAAATATTTGCATTTAATAAAAAACATCCCATTGTTAAGCATATAAAATCAAATAGTATAGAATAAAAACAATAAAAAAATATATAAAATAAAGTGATATAGTACGATACAATACAGTATAATATAGTATAATATAATATAGTATAATATAATATAATGTAGTATAATATAATGTAATATAGTATAATATAATGTAATGTAATATAATATAATATAATATAA